TAAAAAAAAAAAAAAAAAAATGTACCTGTTTTTGCCTTGTGATCAAATCCCAGTCATCAACAAGCCATGGTTTCAGCTCTTCTGGAATTTTAACCTTTACTTCAACTCTGTTCATAAATGTTTCTTCCTAGAAGGCGGGGGGGAAAGTCATTCTCTCTTCTTGGCTTATTACACCCAGGCAGAGTAATTGTTTTCCTGAACAAAAAACTTACAACTATGCAGCTGCTACTGTCACTTCAAGTTCTCCGATTAAGTGAAAGACTATTCAGCTCCACTTAGCTTGACAGTAACCAGAACCCACTGTCCCAGAAACTCTACTATAGCACTCAGCAAATTTCATTTGTTAATATATACACATACACTTAAAGCTTTTGCAGCTGGGAGCATTATTTCCAATTAACTGCCCATGAATTCATGCTTATAACCCTCAATTCAACAGCAAGAGAAGTCAATCTTAAATAGGTATTTCCAGTGACGTGCGTTACAGAACGCTCTACAAGCTCAGCTTAGACTCGGTCTCCAGGCACATATCTAATATTTTACAAGATAAGGAGGACAAATTGCTAAGCTAACTTATCGTGGCCAATCAAAAAAACAAAAAACAACATTTTGTTAAAGACCACTTGCGTAGATTTTTAATTAAAACCGTTTTCATCTGTGTACATTTAAGAATTATTCCATTATCTATGACATACATAGGAAGTAGTATTTTGAGAGGAAAAAAAAAAGCCTCAAAGCTCCCAAATTTTAGCCTGCAACATTCACAACTATGAATAAATGCTCATACATATATGCATTAGGGCATTCTCCTCCATATGCTTGTTTTTTCCTGCCAGGAGTAAAACAACTGTGTGGAGAACAAGATCTGGAAATTCAGTGTTAACTATTAAAGAAAAGCCATTTCTGGCAGGTACACTACACAGAATGCTACAATGGCTTCAACATTCAGATATAATAAAAGTCTTAGTCTGTCACACTCCGGGTTAACTGTGCATGTGCCACTGATTGGCGCGTGCAAAACTTTGCACCAGGGCTCAGGGGAGGCAGCAGACGGGGGCAAGGGAGCCGCCATGCCACATTCCATCTCATCCCCGACCCGGCCCAGCCAAGCTAGGGCCCCGTTCAGTGACTGGGGCCCCAGGTGGGCCAGGTCAGACTATCGGAGCCCAGCAGCTCCTCCAGGTGTGCAGTGTTGGGGAGCCAAGAATGGGGGGGGCCCCATGGCCCCCCAGTCTGCACAGGGCAAGGGCAGACTGCAGCTGTGGGCTGCGCTCAGCCTCTGCTCCTTACCTCGCTGCTGACGCTTTGACAGCAGTGCGGTGGAGCACCATGTGCCTTGCTACCCAGCCCACCCAGTGGCGGGACTCACATGGCACTGCGCCGCACCACTGTCAAAGCAGTGGCAGTGAGGCAGAGCAGAGGCTGAATGCAGCCTGCAGCTACAGTCTGCCCTTGCCCCATGCACAGACTGGGGGGCCACAGGCCCCTCCCCCCCCCCTTGGTGAGCCGCTGAGCTCCAATTGTCTGACCGGGGCCCTGACTGGGCCAAGTTGTGGGGCAAACCTGAGCCCAGAAAACTCCTCCAGAGGCATGGCATGGGCCAGGGGACACGCATGCAGGCCCAGACCAGAAGGGAGGGGAATGGTTCACCAGACATGGGCCACTGTCCCCATCTGTCTGTCATTCTTGACGGGCAATTGGCTAGTCTTATGGAAGAAGTTTACTGTCTGTATTTGCATGGTAGGTAAATTTGATTCCACCAGGAGAAAGAAATAAAGTTATTTGCTTGTGCTGTTTTCACATACTTGCAAAAAAAAAAAAAACTGAGGACCCCTAAACTGGATTGAGAACCACACCTAGCACTCATGTGGAGCTCACAGGACCCCAAAGGCTTCAGTCCCAAACCAGGGTCTAAGCATGCAAGCCTCACCAACATCAATTTTCACTGTCCTGGTGAACATGTGCAAACTTTCCAAGTTATAAAGTCTGAGTAAAGATATCAGTGACCAAATAGAAGTTTTAATTTATCATTAAGTTTCTGGCTCCTTCATCAGTAAGTATGACACAGGGAGTATTAACAAACAGCTGCAATTATCTTCATGAGACCAGCATCATTCAGTGGCAGGGGAGGGGAGGGGAGGGGAGGGGAGCGGAGCAGGCAATAGAGTTGATCAGCTTTCAGCAAATCAGCTTGATCAAAGTTACAACAGGTTTTGCATTTCTGCAACTAACGCTTGTAACTGCTACTTCCCAACTCACTGGTTTAGCTTGTCAGCTGGCAACAGGCTTATACTAAAGTACAAAAGATCAAATATTCCCAACTGTCAGCCTTCATTAACAGACTGCTAAGGTACCAGAGAGTGTCAAAGCATTATGACACTGATCAGACCCTACCAGACCTGCAGGGAAAACAAGGAGCCAAGTAAAAGGAGTTTGAAATACGTCTACTTTGCACCCTTGCGTTTTTCTAAAATCAGTTTAGTTAAAACAAAACACCTAACATCTGTTCCATGAATTGTCCAGTCTGTCACATCTGAGATCACAGGAATAAAGTGGACAAAAGCTGCAGACCTCAACGGGGGGGGGGGGGGGGGGGGGGAAAAAAA